TTTATGGCATTTGGGTGTTCGAAGCTTTATCTACATTGCGCTTTAGCCGGCGGCTAATGCGTGGGATTAAAACAACGCAAAAGTAAGTAGCTTCTAGTATCCTCTATATGTACTTAATTTCAACGAGATCCGTTCAGCCGTTTAGGCTACGAAATCTAACAAATATCACAAGATTTAAGTCGATGTTACGTACTTAAATAATTTTCCAGAATTCGGTAAGTACACCGAAAGTAATTAATAAAATTTCGGCAACGTATGACTTTCCTATAACTTCTTAAGCTTTACTGGAATTAAATAAGTAGTTTTCAACGTGAGGGATGAAGCCTTACAAGGTTTATAAACACGAAAGTTTGATTTCGGTGGAAATTTTTGGCTACGTAACTGGACGAGTGTAAGGTTGATGAAATTTGGAAAAAAATTCAAACAAAAAAATTGGACCCATCTGCAAGCATTACCTTTTGGATAAAAAAAGAATTATCAAAATCGGTCCACTAGCGGTGGAGTAATGCCGTAACACACATAAAAAAATTAAAAAAAAACAAAAAAACATACAGACGAATTGAGTACCTCCTTCTTTTGGGAAGTCGGTCAAAAAATACACAGATTACAATCTGGACTAACGCATAGGTAATTTATTATTGTAATTCGGCGTAATAGTCATATCAAAAACAGCAAACCTACGAGTATTTATGCAAAAACTCATTACTACAGATCACATATTATTAAACAAATACACTGCACATCAATTGTTTTTCTTTTCCATTGCTCTTTTATTATGTACTAGCTTTCGCCCGCGTCTCCGTCTGCGTGGAATAAAAAAAAACAAAAGTGACTAACATATGTGTTCTTACAGACAATCCTCTACATCTATACCAAATTTCATCGAAATCTGTTGAACCGTTTAAGCTACAAACTCTAACAAACATCCATCCATCTAATCTTTCGCATTTATAATATTAATAAGATGTTTCCATGTATTAAAGGCGCCAATGACTTCCATTTCTTAATTTAATATTTACGAATTCACAAAAAAAGGTATGAAGTACTTAGTTAAAGACAGATCGAACTAATTATACTACGAGTATACAAATTCAATACCACGTGTTTTTAATATTAAAACCTGTTTGTAACTAGCAGTACTTAGTTTTCGTTGTTTTATAATGTTGCTATCAAATGAGGACATCTTATAAAATTCGACAGATAAATATAACAGATCGTCGTCCCGCCTAGAGCGCGGTGGATAGACGAAATTATGTAATACAAGTAAAAAGCGTGAAAGCTAAATTCGTATCTCCTTTTTAGTTGTCCTGTATGACTAAGTGATGTAATCCGCATTCGGAGTCACATCAATTCAAATCCGGTTCATAAAAGGATGTATTTTATGGATTATTCCAACCGTCATGTCACCCCGCTCTGTCCCCACGTGGGAATAAAAATGATCATCAGTCCCACCCCTTAGTCCCACTATCACCAATAAGGTGACAGATGGAACCGTTATGAAATAAAATTAGTTTCAACCGTCCGCTCGTTGCAAAAGGCGGGACGGATGAAATTTTTTACTATCATCTTTTCCCACGTGGGGACAGAGTGGGGTGACGGTTTGGAATAAACCAATTTTATGTTTTTCTAATACTTGTTATAATGCCATTAGTTCAACATCAGTGTGCCCTAGTCGCTATATGTTCTGTTCTTCCATACATTGTAATCGGACTAGTTAAATTGTCTAATTCTAATTTGGTGTTACTTGATATGATTTTCAGATGAAATTGTTTCTAAATATTTTAATTAAGTGGCATAACGTACTGTTGTTCTTGGGGCAATTGTACAAAAAAGCTAAATTTGTTCTTCAGTCAAATGACTCATCCTTAGTATCCAGTCTTTCTGGAATTCTTTCCGTAGTAGTTGGCATTGGGCAGTGACGTCAATTACATACTTAACATTTGAGGTTATCTTATCTTTTACATCCATATTTTAAAAATATAACGCAAAACAAATGCAAATTAGAATCGATATGAGAATTAATTATTAAAGTGTAAAACTTTCACTGAATCGCATATGAACTTGTTCGTAATAACGATTCAGTTTATTCGAACTGTCCAGTTGTTGCCGACGGCGATGTATAATATAAGTTGTCTATTACATGCAAACCTGATTGACTACTGCGACATAAAAGCGAAGATAATGTTAGAATGTTCTACACTAGAGATGCCGAACCTTATTTCAGACAACATTCATCATTGTAGTGGTGCTTTACTCCTAACTCCTGTCGAACCTTCTGTGGAGTACAAGGTCCAATAAGAAATTCAAAACTTTATAACAAAACCATTATAGTTATATTCGAAGTAAATCCGGTATTAAGTAATACCTATATGTTAAAACACAATAAAACCCACGACATTGACCATAAATATAAGAGAGTGTTCGTATGTTTGTAACATAATAAGATTTAATGCAATATAAAGATAATTCTAAGTTATTACTTAGCTTCTTTATTTTTCATTCCAATTAAATAGTAACTTTATACTAGGTAACAACAACAATTGGAATCGAACATTATCACAAGATGGAAGTCCGTAAAACTAACTATTCAGTTACTGGCGTTTGTTCAAAAATAATCTATAACTAGTGAAGGAAATGTTTTACAAGTAAATGTTAATCCAAAATTAAGGGTTGTTCAAAATACAAATCAATGAAAATCTTTGTCTTTTAGTAGTCGGTGGAATCAAGAAAACATAGCAACCGGTAACTTAGTAGTACGGTCAATTCAATGGAAATAAGAAATTATATTTGTGCGTTTTACTGTCTAAAGATGTCATTTGTTGTCTATGGAATAGTTTTGAAGAGTTTCCTTAAATTAATCTTACTAATCTTACTAATATTATAAATGCGAAAGTTTAGATGGATGGATGGATGGATGGATGGAAGGATGTTTGTTAGCGTTTGTAGCCTAAACGGCTGAACGGATCTCCATGAAATTTGGCACAGGTTTAGAGCATAGTTTGGAAGAACACATAGGCTACTTTTTATCCCGGGATAAGTTACGGTTCCCGTGGGATTCATTAATTTAGTTTTTTAATGTTTACTCGATCATTGTACAACGCCAACGGTTCAACATACTCGTATCTTATTGAAATTTGGCACAGATGTAAAACAAAGTCTGGAGTATACATGGGATAAGCTTTATCCCCGAGGTGTCTGGTTCCCGAGGGATACGTAGCTTTTTGTTATTTATATTGTTCATATGTTTTCTAATACCACGCGGACGAAGTCGCGGGCAACAGCTCGTTAATACATATAATTGAATACGTCTGTAATTACAGCTTTATAAAAGTAAAACTATTTATATAAGTTTGTTATAATTTCTCATTTCCATTGATTTCGACTATAGGTATTTAAACGCATATTTAGTTGCAATTAAAGTCAAGGCGTAAAGAACGTTTATGCAGATTTCTCATGCAGATTTTCACAGCATTTTAAGTACTGCGAAAACAAAGGTATTCATTCCGTTATCGAGAGCCTAATCTTGATTGTAAAGGACCTGTCGCTAACACTTTTACGTTTTTCTTGTGATAAATAACAATAATTGTTAATTTGAAAACTGATATTTTAATATCTTTCAAATACTATTCTTGCTATTGTTAACTTGTATTGAATTTACTTATTTTTAGTAGCAACATTTGATGCCATTTATCTGTCGAAGTAATTTAAATTTTACTTAAATTTCTAATTTATGTATTTGATTGTTTTAATTATAATTTGTTGATAACATTAATTTATAGATTTCGGCCAATTAACACAAAGGTCACCTGATGTTTGTGAAGACTGCTAAAAGGAATACGCAACAAAACAAGTTGCATGGACTTAACAGTAGGCGAGTCATCCGGTTGGGGTCGTGGGAGATCAAGTGGGGGCCCTGATAGACTATCAACACGATCCCAGGAAGACGGTAACCTAGAGTGGTCCTTTGTTGCCGTAACATCGTTGAGCCACAGGGAGAGTTTGAGTGCCGAAGGTTCCGGTGTGTTCCCAGGAGATACCGTAACCTTCGTCAATGTCACTAGGGGATGGCCACCGAGGGGGTTTTAGTAGGTGAAATCCTACATAACCCTGCCTTCTCCCCAGAAGGCAGGGTATCTTTTAAGATTTCCCCCCATTACCAAAAAAAAAGGCGAGTCATCCGGACTTTGATTGGATGTTCTGACAACTTAGTTTCCTGTGTCTAACAAGGAATACAAGCATCTTTATAATAGATATCACTGTCAAAACATCTGAACCAAAATGTAATCACATCTCTGTTCTTTTCAATGGAAACAAGAGGGATGGAAATACATTTTAGTAAATATTTTCCGGCAGTGGAAACCGATGGTTAAGCTCATTCTTCTTGTAGGTTCGTTTAATTACTATTCTATAAGGAATAATAGGTCACTATACGTCCCCATCGAGAGGCTCGGAGCCTATCCTAAATAAGGGGTGACTAGGTCATAGTCAACCACGCTGGCCCACTGCGGATTGGTTGACTTCACACATATCTTTGAATTTTTTCGCCGATATGTGCAGGTTGCATCACGATATTTTCCTTCACCGTAAGAACGCCGGGTAAATATATGAAAAATCGAAAATCACATTGGTACATGGCGGGATTCGAACCCAAGACCTGTATATTACAAGTCAAACCACTGAGCCACCGATGCTCTAAAATCTAACGATCTAATTATTACCATTTTCACACGATCGATCACTAGAATTCAAAGATCGCCTGAAAATTTCACTATTTAGACTTTGAGTCACGAGTGGAATGTAATTCTCGATTTTATACCTGTTAGTAGAAAGATTTATACGGGAGAGCATACAAGATAGTTCCTGTTTTCCCAAGCACATGTATACACTAGTTGGTATTATCCAGCGAAAGTGAATGCCTCATCACGCCCCACCTGACCGTCTATGGGGTGGGCTTGAATATATAAACACATACTCAAGGTAAACGGTATAGTGTAAAAACAGTTCCGGCGTAGAAACTACTGGAACGGCCGTCCCCGCCCCAACATGCGAGGGATCTGGAGCCAAGTGGTCAGTGTTCAAAAGTTTTTTTTTTTAAACAATAGTGTACGAACTTTAAATTTCCTCGACCTTGTCAACTGAAAGTGATAAAGACAGAATTATAGAATTATGTGATTTTTTTCTTATAAACTTTTAGTAAATCTCCTTAGTCGACATTTTTTTTTTGCTTTTTTTTAATTAGCTCATTCGATGACTGAAGCAAAAGCAAACACAAAAAGTTTCAAAATAAAGTGTTTTGTTTTAACCGATCTAAAAAAAATTATTGTCACCCTAATTTAGGGTAGGCTCCGAGCCCCTTAGTGGGGACGTGAGCTGGTGATAATGAAAAATATATCTAAGAAATCATTACTACATTCAGTCTTCAATTTTTATAGCCTTTTTGATCCTGAACTAAGCTTTTTATTAAAATAAAATACAGATATACTAATAACCTAAATATTTCTTACAGATGAATTAAAAAAATCTCGTAATTCAAATGTTTTAACCTTTCAGACCTCGTCATTCTATTGTTTTATTTCTGTTTACATAACAACTGGTAGTTAAGTAAAATATTGACCATTGACAAATTTGAACATTCACAGTTTGGACAGTACGCGGATAATAGTCAAATATTGTTTTAACTCCGCTAATTGCTTGGGCTTGAATGATGCGAGTGAAACATTATGTGAATTTTTGATAGTTAACGGTAACATTTGCGATGTTTGTGATGTTACGAATTGTTTATATTTAAAATAGAGACTAGACTTACAGTTAATGGATTTTAGAATTCAAGTTGTCACAACGGTGTTAAGATTTTTTATTGAAGTTCCTGTCTTCTAGAATGTAAGATGGTACTCTGTATCGAATCTGGTTTAATTTCATTCCATTTATTAATTCTTCTTCTTGTTGATTTTTATGAGGTTTTCTTCTCACATTTTTAATTGTCAGACAATTCAATGTAAGAGCTTTAAGTAAGCACCCACTAACTTTTCGTTCCTAATTTTATCATACAAACTAACAAGAAGTTTTAGTTTTGATGAAAAAAGTGTAAAGTCAAATGTAGAACTTATTTTGCGTTATGCGTTTCACTAATGTTTAAAATCGGTGGAATGCAAAATTTTGAAGTTAATATTTCAAAGTTTTTTATATGTATTTTTTTGTATGAGTACTAGATTTTTTATATTTTTTATAACTTTAGTATTAGTACGATAACCTTGGTTAGAACAATTAAATTGTCTATTTCTAAAGATATTATGTCTAGAAACATAGTCATTGTTAATGTTTTTATTCTTTTCAACGTTGTTTCTCAGCATTGTTTCCTAGGTTCATCGATAAATTTGTAATAGCGAAGTGACTCTGAAGCACTTTCGTTTTCGTTGTTTTACGAAGTTATTCACGTAATCTATCTAAATTACGACGTATCTACGTCGGAATAAGGAATCATCGGCACGTTTTTTATACTTTTCGTTATACCACCTTGTACATAATGATATGCGATTAGCTAGATATCGGTAGAAGAGTCCAACCTTTATTCATTTTGGCAAATAAACGGCTTCAAAATTTTCTTAGATAAATCTAACGAGGAGGCAAAATTGTGGACTGAACATTTCCCAGTTTTGTTAGATTTATCGGAATGATCGGACTGTTCAGATAAAACTGTCAGATAAACTAAGCGTGTGTAGCGGTCTTAAGAAACATGTGATATATGTCCATACGTAAGATCTTGCGCTATTAATTATAACATTACCTTTGTATAAGGTTCTGGGTGAAGTAATAAAACTAAATTTCTTTAAAGTAGACGATACTATTTCGACGTTCCGAATACGGACACATTTTGAGGGCGTATTATGCAACGCGGATATTCTCTAACGCACTTAGACGCGTGAAGCACGATCGTCTTTCGGATACAGTAATTATAATACGTAATAATGCGTAATAGGTGTGCGACGGACATTTGTGTTGACTGTATGCATCCGAGAATGGTCCGGTTATATAACCGATATACGCTTTGAGAATAACAGACATCGTTATTGTGTATGAAATCGACCTCGTTACGTCATAGTGCAAACCCTAAAACAAAGAGTAGGCATCTGCTATCTATACATATAATAAAATTGGAGTGACTGTTTGTAACATTAAAAGAAAAATTCCATATTTCGGGAAGATGATGTATTTGCGTTGCTAATAACGAAAATTACATTAAAAAAATTGTCTGTCTGTCCGCAAGCTGCACTTGTTCCGGGTAATCTCCGAAACAGCTCGGCCGATTTCGACGGGACTTTCACTGAAGGGCAGCTTACATGGATAGGCATATTATAGGCTACTTTTTTTAAATTCTGAGGTGTCAAAATGCCATAACGGGTCGTCCAAATTTGCGCTAACGAATTTTTAAAGTAATTCTGTTCTTCTTGTCTAGGAATATACAGAAGAAATTATGCCGTGTGTGCATTTAACATATGTTGTAAAATATTTTTGGAATTAATTATGCTTTCTTTGATGTGAACATTATGTAACCAGTAAAAATGTGCACTGTTCAAACAGGAAGTAGGTACTCGAGCTAGGAACTTGTTTGGGTTTACTGCGAGACGAATTTAGCGTGAAAATGCAAATTTTTATGTAATTCTGATATCAAGTAAGCTTTTTATTTCTCTAGATTACGGTTACTAAAATATGTACACAATTTTTTATGTTTTTTTTGGTATTGTGTAAATCTGAGGATATACTCGTAATAGGTCAACTGAGGTTACCACTATTAGACTACAGTTGGTTTTTATCTATTTTTTAGAACCAAATAAGCTAATAAGAATTGACCATTAGTCTTTAAAGGTTATAAATCTTATACTAACATTTTTTTTAATATTATGTCGTTGGATATATAAGTAGAAGCAAGTTATGCAATTATTTTGCAAGTGCGTCCTATCGTTCGTTTTCGAGTTGTGTTAATGAAACGGATAAACTTTCACGAAGCGTTTTCACAATGTTTATATAATGTATTTGCGGATTTATTGTCAAATGTGTTAAATAAGTTTTCATTTTTATATAGTCGCAATTTTAAAATACAAATATGATATGAGTAAAGACGAATGTCCGTAATCGTGACTCGACTTTGCTTTCGTTATTCTCTTGATACTATTATGTAAGGCTCTAGACGCCCGCGCTATGACCCACGACGTTGTCTACCAATTACTTAGGTCAAATCGTGTGTCTCAGAGTAATCGTAACCTATCAACTATAAGTCAATTAAGCTTGTATAATAGCTTGAATTAATAATTGCGGTCATTTAAAAATCCACTTTCCTATTCTTTATTTATTTATCGTTTTCTGAACAATCGAAATCGAAAAAAGTCAACAGATATTTCAGTTTACATCCTCTGTCATTTTTCGACTAGAACAAAGATTTGTTGATGTTTTTTATTATCGTATTATTCTCTCTTAACCTTCTCGTAATTCACACAATTATATTCAACTGTGTGTTGTCAAGGCGTATGAGTTCTGTTTGTGCTATGCGATAATCACTACAAAAAATTATTAATAATATGTTTAATTTTAAAGCTTTATTATCTTTGTTACAGTTTACCCTAGCGGTATTACAAATCGCTCTAGTGACGGGCAAGGCGCTTATACCACAAGAACAACAAGCCCAACAACAGTTGGAACCGAAGTCAGCTTCGAGCAATGTAGCCCAGAAGCGTGTAGGCTATGATTACCCCGCCCCGCCTCTGGATCTCGTGAACCCTTACCAAGATCACGACGATCTTCATGTTCACGGAGATCATCATGAGGTGATAGACCATCACGAAGATCATGACCATCACGGTGATGACTTCCACGACCATCATGATCACCATGATCTGCATGACCACCATGATCACCATGAAGAGCATCACGTAGAGGAACACCATGAGGAACATCATGATCACCACGACCATCACGATCCCGGTTACTGGAAAAAGAAACTGATCTGGAAGCCCGGCTGGAAGAAGATATGGAAGCCATCCAAAAAACAAATATGGAAACCATCATCGAAGAAAATATGGAAACCTATATGGGTACCTACCAAAGTTCCCGTTTGGAAAGACATCAAAGTACCCGATTGGAAAAAAATTTATAAACCAGTATGGAAACCTATCAAAGTACCGGCATGGAAAGAAGTGAAAGTTCCAGATTGGAAGAAAATTCAAGTTCCAGTTTATAAAGATATAGTTGTACCTGGCTGGAAAGATATTCAAGTACCTGCATGGCGCAAAATATGGGTGCCAGAATGGGTCAAAGTAGGTGTGCCTGGAGAAAAGTACCTCGGTAAAGACCACGACGGTTGGGAATATACGTCACACGATCTATGGAAGAAGAAATTAATTTGGAAACCTCTTTGGAAGAAATATTGGAAACCAGCTAAAAAGCAAATTTGGATACCGGACAAGAAATTGGTATGGAAAGATGAGTGGAAGCAGATTTGGAAGACAGAAAAGAAGCAAATTTGGGTAGACGACAAAAAGTTAATCTGGAAAGAAGCTTGGCAACAGATTTGGAAACCCTCCAAGAAACTGATCTGGGTTCCAGACAAAAAATTGGAATGGAAGGAATCCTGGAAGCAAATATGGATCCCGGACTGGAAGGACATTTGGGTGCCGGGAATTAAGAAAATATGGCGACCAGTTTGGATTTCAGAATGGTTCCCATCACCGGATCACCATGAACACGTTCATGAATCTCACGGTTGGGACAGAAGTGATAATAGCGCAGCATCCAGCCAAAAATCGGTGACAGTGAAGAAAGCTCCTCAGCAAACGAGCCCTCAACAACCTACACAGTCAACGTGGCAGTTCCCGAAATAATTAACTTAATTTAAAGTATTTGGTTTTATATAATTGTCAAAAATGTTCGCAGAATCATAAGCAATAAGAGCGGTCACGTGCGACGGAATCACGTCTGGATTATAGGTAAATGCCTAATTGAAATTGCAAAACGCTCTGCGAAACTAATTAGTAAATATTGCGATTGTTTCTATGAACTGCGAACATTTGTTATTGTTACAAGTAACTATTAAAATCGAGATTGATAGCGTTGCAAAAGAGGAGTATTGAAGCTTTAACTGAATTACGTAATGTTCTATTGAAAAATTTTTTTACATATAGTATCTATGACATATACCTTATCTAAAATTTCAACCTTATTAATATAAAGAGTAAAAATGGTAAAGCTTGTTGAAATCGGATTACGGTGAGAATCAGTAAATGTAAAGAGCCATTGAAGTCAGTTACGTTATAAAGTTGAAATTGCTTTGTTTTGCCTTGTCAATGGTAATTCTGACACTATGACAATAGTAATTTGACAATTTCCTCGCAATCGCTCGAAATGATGTAATTTACTTTACTCGTGATGGTGCCCACTGATGTTTTGTGTTTTGTTGTTCTTAGTGTGTGTGTTTCTAGTTGTTGTTATTGAGTACTTTAATTTTAAGTGAATTTAAATAGATATAGCTGAACCAATGAAATAAATATAAGTTTTGTTATATTCTTATTACTTGTTTTACTTCGAACATACTCGTATTATGATATGTTTTGGCTGAGCGTAATTTTAAATTTTATTTAAACTCCAATAATAATTAGTCAAGATCTATTAACTCTAGATATTGTGTTTTGCGGGAGATGTATCCGGCTTATCCTCTCATCACTAACTCAGTATACGTGCTTACTATCAGGTTCATAGCCCTAAATTAGGGATGACTACAACTTCATCGAGCACGCTGACCCAGTGCGGGTTGTTGACTTCACTCACATCTTTGAATTTCTTCGCCGATGCAGGTTGCATCACGATGTTTTACTGTAAGAACGTCGGGTAAATTATACATCTTAAATTCGATAACCACATTGGTACATGGCGGGATTCGAACTCAGGACCTGTAGATTACAAGACAAATGCCTGAGCCACCGACGCTCGTTAGCGAGACATGCGGCACGTAACTATACAGTACCTAAATGTTAGTTACCCACCATTTTCTTCTTGCCTTCGTCTTCGCCGTTAAAGCGAGAATCTGAGGTCGATAAAAAGCTGCAATGCTAAATAAAAATGGACATTTCGGACTGTCTTTTTGCAATCGCATTGTTACCTCAAGCACTTTTAACAACTTTATATACAGGATTATTTGTTATTGACGTATTCCTGTAAGGAGGTGACGAAGGAGAATATTTTTTTTTAAGGTGCGACGCCTACAAACCTCTTAAGTGGTTTGGCGGGAAAGACTTATGTAACGATATTATAATGTTTTGGAAATAAAGAAACAATAAAAATGTGATAATTTTGGACCCCTATATGCATTATGCAAAAGTTAACCGTTTTTGAGCATTTTTTAATAAATATTACTAATAATCTTAACCCTTACTAAAGTTCTGAATGCAAAAGGTTATATGGATGGATGGAAGGTGTTTATTATTGTTTTTAACCTAAACTGCTTAACGGATCTCGATGAAATTTGGCACAGATTTTTTTTTTATAATGTTGATGTTGAGGAATATTATTGATCCCGTAATTAAGGACGGTTCCTGGGGATACATTACTTGTGTTTTTTCATCTTTACTTGATAATTCTGCAATGGGTCGACATATTTTATTGTAATTTGGTGCATCTACAAAACAAAGTGTAAACAGACATATGCGATACAGTTCATCCCTTAAAAATATCAGGTCCCCGAGGGATATGCAGATTTTTGTTTTGCATATATGAACTTCATACGTTTTTATAAAGCTACGCGGGTGAAGTCACACGCAACAGCTAGTAGATAAATAACGACTACTATTTTATAAAGTGATGTAAGTGTGTTGTTATACTTTCCTAAATTTTACATTGTCAAAAACATTGTCATTTTGTTATCTAATAACACAACATATGTTACTATTTCGTCAGCGCGAATTAACGTCAGAAAGCAACTTAGGTCATGTAACTAGAGTATTACGGCTAACCCTATGACTAAATCGTCCGATGCTTGAGTTATTATTCATGTGTCCTGGATATTGAAGCATTACTGGTAATTCCATCGATCGATCCTACACCATCGAGAAATATTACCTACTCTTACTACTAGTCTACTCTTGGCTATGAAACCTATATACTTTCATTCAACAGATAATTGTAAAAAAGTAAAACGCATCGTACAATAAAAGTAAAGTATTGAAATTAAACTGTAGAAAAAAATATTTTAAGTTTGTATCCAAAATATTGCTATTCGTAAACTGTCAGGCGCTGAATAATCATGAATCCTCAATATCCATCGCGAGATCATAACAGTATTTTACTACATTTACTCTAGTAGTTTAAGAAGCACATGTGCAAATGCAGATGTCTATGGGCAGTGGTCGGTTTGTTATTTTGACGAATTATGGTGTCCGAATAATTGCAAGCTAGATCACATAAGAGTAAAACTGTTCTCTTTGCACTTAAAAGGTGTGTAGGTTCAAACAATTGTGGTGTAACGCCCCCTGCTCTGTCTCATTGTTCTGCCCTTACAAAATAAAATACTATGGTTTAAATTGACATTTAACAAATCTCTTACAGTATTTTCCTTTTGTTACATTCTACAGTTTCCAATGAATAGTGAAACTGAAACACTTCGCATTCACTGCGTTTGTCATGGATTCGGGAATGCAATGCTTTAAACATTGAACACTTATAACAGAGCTTCACAGCTCAAAAATGCATACGCATGAATGTGTTCTAATAGCAATCTAACAATTTGAAATGTGTGTATTACACGATTCAATTTTTTTAGCAGCTCGCCGGTTACATGCGAGCGCATTTTGCCGAAGCTCAATTCTGATAACAGTATAGTTGTTTCACTTTTTTCCAATATAAATATCAAAGCTTAGAATGTCGATGGATGGAAGATGGTAGGATGGATGACTGTTTATTAGCAGAGATCTCCAAAACGGCAAAGATAGGTCTAGTAACAAAGTCAATATCACACAACTATCTTTATTATGATAAATATAATTGACTAAGTTTTCTCGTGCGACTTCTTCCGCATAAAATAATGAAAATGTTAATTTTATGGTTTACATGTGTCAAAATATCAATTGCAAATGTCATGACGACAAACCACAGCAACCATGCTTCCTTAACGTTAGCAGCTTGTAGTTTATGATCCCTTCTCTACATGAATGTTCTTTCCAATTCTTTTATCCCCAAGTTTAATAGTGTGAAATTATGTACCCTAAAGCGTGCCGTAAGTGTAGGACTTTTTATTAAAAAAGGAATTATTTAAAAATATGCTGTGATTGCTGACATCCTACGCCACAAAGTAGTGTGTGTTTACGCTTTATTATATTAGTTAGTAAAGATGAATTATACATGAATAATCATAAGATAACTGAATTCATTTTAACTCAATATACAATCCAATTACACGCAGCAAGTTTTGCCCGCTAAAATAATTCGCTGAAATTAATAGGGTTGTTGTTTTTCACTTCCAATTAACAATCTACCAAATGCAATAACTTCAAATAACAATCACAAGTGAAAGTTTCATTGAACGATGTTAAGCTATAGTTTCAGTAAAACAACAATTCAAAAGAAAACAAACAAGCACTTTTATCTAGGTTCTAATTAACTGAAGTTAAAAAATACAAACATTGAAGTACTTTCATCTATAGCTATGCTAATAATGCTGATGTAAGTTGCATTCGAGACTTGGGTGTACTGGTGGACTCCAAGCTCTCGTTTATCGAGCATGATTGATTGGTTGATGAGAACATGGCGCATGCAGCTGTGCCGAAATGTCGGGAGCTATAACAACCCTATCGTGGTAAGAAACCCGTATATTACGAACATTATAATTGTAAAACCACGACAGTTTAAAGTTATATGTTGATGGGGTAGTTAGGAGAGCCAGCAGGGCGTTAGGGTTTATAAGGAGATCTTGCTCCGATTTTAAGATAACTACGCCGTTAAAAATACTTTATAACGCATATGTCAGATCCAATCTTGAGTACTCTTCTTCAATCTGGAATCCTACTTACAAATGTCACATTACACGCATCGAACGTGTACAAAAGAGGTTTACTAGAATGCTTGCCTTTAAAGATCGGTCAGCTCCGCGATTCTCCAATTACTCACAAAGACTCGAGTACTTTAAAATCAAGTTACTACAACATCGTAGAACGGCAACAGATTTAAAGCTTTTATATAATATCATGCGAGGTATAATGCTTTTCCCCGAATTACTGACTGAAGTCAACATCGCGGTGAATCGTAGCAGTTCGGTTAGACGGACCAGGAGATGCGAGCTGTTCAAACTGAAATCTTATCGCGCCAACGTAGGTTGGAACTCTGTAATTAACAGAATCTCCCGCAGCTATAACGATTTTTTAGCGATCGGTGTTATGATGTTGACATTTTCCAAGTCTCCGTGTCCCGATGTTAAAACTTAATAAACAAAAAGGATCTCGGCTTATATTACTACCAGTAACACTTTTGAATTTTCTTTTGTTGTTTGTTTAATATTTGTACCCTAACATATAGTTATAATTAACGTGATTCAACGTTTGTTATCGAAAGAGTAAAACACTATTTTCTTGTGAGCGCTGTGTACGCCTGTCATCTGTACCATCTTTTGCTTCTTTGTTTTCATTGTCTACAGTATATTAATTTAGTTGTGAACTTTGAACATGCAATTGGTGTACCTTTCCAATAAATAAATAAATATAATAAAGCGTAAACACACACTACTTCGTGACGTAGGACGTCAGCTAAAACAGCATATACTTGAATAAATCCTTTTTTAATAAAAACCTCTACACTCACATGCTTTAGGCTATATTTTTCACACTATTAAAATTAGGGTGTAAATAGATTGGATAATATGTAGAAAAAGGACCATAAACTACAAACTGCCAACATCAAAAAAGCAAGGTTACCATGGTTGTCATTTGTGAATTTGAATCTAGACATTCAAAATTGAGAATTTGGCAAATGTAAACAATAAAATAAAGTTTTTTATAATTACGTGCGGATGGAGCCGCACAGGAACAGCTAGTCCCATATAAATATAACTGCCCAACAGGCACTACAACTACAAAAAATTGTGATATCTTATCAAAAGCCTAAGTAATCATAAAATATGTCTGAGCATAGAATAAAAACCTAAACTTGCCCATTTTTTTAAAAAATATACTTAAAACTGTGTTTTATTGTCAATAACTTTTTGTAAACTTAGCATCAATAACTAATGTTGTAAATCATTATAACACATGTAATATTAATAAGGAGATGATAATAAATTAAAAGCCAATTCAGTTAGCTTCAGATTTATTAAATTTTTTAAAATAAGTGACTAGATAATATCAAACATCAAATTGTGCAGAACTCGAACGTCCGAAATCAATATAGGATCCTTCAGATCGATCCGAAAAATATTTTAAATACTCTGTAAGAAACGAGATACAGCGATTATAAGATTGCTCTTTATACGATCATGTTGTCTATCTTAGGATCAGATTGAAAATAGAAATTAAAATAGCGCGGATACGTATGTTTTTCAGATCCAATATTGATTTCGAACGTAAATAGAACAGTAGTGCTTGAGACATTTATTGGGGTAGTTTTATGGAGAGTCCCCCGCGTACATTCTTAAGCCAGGTCGGCGGAGCCGCGTGCTCGTTGACCCATTCCTGTGTCTTCACACGGTACCAGACGCGCTTCCAAACAGGGACGAAGACACTCTTCATCTGCCAAGTCTTGATCCATTTAGGGAGCCAGACGGACTTGTTCTTCCAGTACCCCTGGTACAAGTAACGTTCCAAGCTCTCGCGATCCCTGACAAAGAAATTAATTAGTTTAGTAAAAAGCAATATAACCGTGGATTTCCACTACCGAAATAAGTACGAAATTTCTTTGTCTTCCTCTTTCTTCTTTAAAGAGACGTAATATTAATATGTTTTTTTGTCTTTCGACTTAGGTCTAGATTATCATTATGTTAAAATAAAAGTCGAAGTAAGAAAATTATTATACACTAGGTGTTGGTCGCGACTTCACCCGCGTGAAATTAGAAAATAATACAAATGACAAATTACACTGACAATGTAGGTTTTTAATGGTAAAAGATTTTTTGAAATCAGCCCAGTAGTGTTTGAGGTATATCAATACATACAAAAATAAAAAAAAATCTTTCCTGTATAATATTTGTATAGGTTTATACAATGCAAAGGCGTCTAGCAAATGGTCTAAGGGAGAGATGATCAAGGGGGGCAGTTGTTTTGAAATGCATTTCTACCTTAATCATACTAATATCATAAATGCGAAAGTTAAGATGAATGGATGGATGGATGTTGGTAGCTTAAACGGTTGAATTTGGTATAGATGTAGAGGTTTGTATGGAAGAACACATAGGCTACTCACTTTAGTTTTTTAAATGTCGCACGGACGGAGTCGCGGGCGAAAGCTAGTATTGAAATACTTGTTCAATGCGCTTCTATTGTTTAACATATGTTTAGTATTTGTTTTTTGTATTGTAATTAGTACTTACCTTCCCGGCTTAACATCGCCGAGCTTAATGGTAGCAGTTTGCGCATATTCATACTTGTTAGCAAGGCTGAACACCGTCATAATCCCAAAAACGATCTGCAAATAAAACACATGAATTATGTTGGGTTTCTGAAGTTTCCACTTATTTTATGACTAGCTGTTCCCGTGCGACTTCATTCGCATGAAATTATGAAAGTCGTTTTATTGATTACATTTGTCAAATTATTGCAAATGTCAAAATGACACTCATGACATGATGACAGCAACTTATTATCTCTTTCCCACATTAGGGTTTTATCCAAAATATTTACCCCCTAAGTTTAATGGCGTGAAAATGTATAGCCTAAACCGTGACGTAAGTGTAGGGCTTTTATAAAAAAGAGAATTAGTGAAAATATGCTGTAATTGCTAACATCTTAGGCAACAAAGTGTGTGTTTACGCTTTATTATAATAGTATATATTAACGAATGGTTAAATATATTTGGGAAACTGGCCTTTAATCAAATGGTTCCGTAATCTATAATACTGTCAGTTTTCTCTTTGTACAAATGCAAGTGAAATGGTTTCTTTAAAAAGGAAAAAGAAATTATATTTGACTCCTCCGAAGCAAATGTTAGAAAAGGACGTTACTTTATTGTATTTCAAGATAAAACTTTATCAACAATCATTTGATTACACAGAATTTAATTAATTAAAATATTTTTAACTGACGCCAGGAATTGAACCCATATTGATATAGGTAGCGCCTCACTGCCTTAATTATACGTTACGACATTGAAATAATGAACAGAACTTTATAATTAAAATAATAACCAGCATCAAAAGTACAATTTAATATATTTTAAATGAATATAGAAAATAAAAAGTAAATATTTAATGTGATACACCTCCGCAAACTGACATTGAAAATAAATTGTGAATAGAATATTGCAGAGCAATCGATATCATAATATATGCAGTATAGCTATAACTTTCCATGGACATAGACATCTAGACACAAATGGTGAAGGTCCTTGCAAATGCACAGCTAATCTAACCATTTCTCTCGAATTCGTAAGATCTAAGAAATTTTAAACGCCAACATTCTTAACCTAAAGCAACTTGCGACATTAAAAAAACGTACACTCAGTAAAGTATTTCGTGTTTTTTTTAAACAATAATGTGACAAACGAGCAAGCGGCCACCTAAATCCGCCAAAATGCCGATGCGACCGCTGTCCATAGACATCCGCAATTGCAAATGCGTTGCCTACTTTAAATCGACGGAGGAGAAGACGCACATAAATAGGATATTTCCCGTTCCCATGCGCCTCCTCGACCGTTAAATCCACCTTCCCATCCAATCCTTTCCTTATAAGAAAAGGGTGGAAAAGGAAAGGGACTAAAATTGGGCCTCCGGCACCACACTCATCAGACGAAATGCGGAATTGCTCCCACTTCCCGCCTGTCTTCTGTGTGGTCGTGGTATTTCACCGGGCAAACCGACCCATTCGTGCGAAGATGTTAAAGAGGGCTCTACCATTGTTAACACAAAAAACGCTCGATATCACACAATAATTGAAACATGAGCCAAATTAAAATAAGTGTAAAGAATTGTTATAATTTATGAAAATAAACATAAAAATGCAATCGCAGTACAAGTAACTCTTTCTCGGAATTCTTTTAACTCCTTCGCATATGCGATATTAGACATATGCGACTCTAATATTAGAGTAAACTGTCGCTGGTTTTAAAAAAATATGCATAGATATGAAAATAAATTTTCAAATCCACTATTAAGATTTTTACGCTTTACATGAAAACAAAAAGGTTATTTATAAATAACATTACTTTTTAAAAACTGTTTTTACACAACTTACCATAATAATCCCGCAAACTTTAAACATTTTCACTTGTCAATTTCAACTGGTTTGAATCAGAGAACCTCTCCTGCGACGAGAAAAACTGAACTGAGCAACGATGTCGCTGTTAATGCCCTTTTATAGCAATTTTCCGATCGCTGCTAGGGCGTCTTATAATAACTTTATTTCGACGCAATACTTTAATATCGTTTAAAATTTTCACTCAACACATTTGTAACATAAGGTTTAATTTCATTTTACCTTTCTGTGATGACGTCGAACTAAAAATTAAACGACGCAGGAATTCTAAGTATGTAATGGTAAACATTTCTTAATTTACAATGATTTCACAAATTGATATGTTAATAGTATCTTTAAGCCACCATACTTGCTTAAGGTACGCCATACACGGAATAGAGTATTCTTTTGGTAACCGCTGAAAAGGTGGAAACCGCTATAGGCTGTAGGGAATGATTGCATCCATATACGGTGGCGATTCTATGAAAATACAAGTAAATGAACCCGGAGTATATTCGTTGTAAAAAAGACAGCAAAGTATATTCTCAAACAAAAACCATAAAAGCAGTTGTCTATGATTTTTTTTTAATCTGGATCCCCGTTTCTTTTGCTATTTATCGGTTATGGTAGAGACCTTTACTTGTTTCGATAGATGTTCGTTGTCCAGTTTTGACTTTTCGGAAATAGTTATAAACAGACTGTTGGTTCTCTTGAATAAAACAAAAGAAAGAAAAAAAGACCCCAAATTTCGTCGCAGGATTTTGAGCTAAACTATTTAACTATGTCGTAGCCTTTGACTCCAAAAATCATACAATAAAATAGGACCCACCTGCAAGCACTACCTTTCGGATGAAAAAAATGATCAAAATCGGTCCACTAGGCGGAGTTATGCCGTAACACACATAAAAAAAACATACAGATGAATTGAGTACCTCTTTCTTTTGGGAAGTCGGTCAAAAAATGATCAGTCAGGACGTCTACAAAGGTACCAAGAACCAAGAAACAAGAACCAAGTCCATGGGAAATCTGAGAACTGTTTTAGAACCAGCAGGTTTACTGCTAAAACATGGATGTTGGTTAAATGATTCAACATTAGTAAAAGCATACAGTACAGCATACATCTTAAATGTAACATAACTAGCTGATGCCCACGACTTCGTCCGCGCAATATTAAGATAAAATAGTAGTCTATAATAAGCCCGTCTATGTCAGCTACCCTTCAGTGAAAGTCCGGAAATCGACTCGGCCGTTTCCGAGATCACCTGAAACAAACGCGGCTTACGGACAGACAGATAGACAAAAAGACAAAAATGTTTAAATGCGATTTTTGCTATCGGCAACGCAAATACATCATCTTTCGGAAATCTGAAAAATTTTTCTTATGACATTACAAACAAACACTTCAATTTTATAATCACGATATTTAGACAAACTATAATAAAAAAAAAATGTAATTTTAATTCTGTGTGTCTGCGGTCTTATAAACGGCTGCACCGATTGTGACAGGACTTTCATTGGATAGTAGGTGATGGATGATGTATTATAGGCTACTTTTTTATTTTTGCATTGACGAAGTTGCGGGCAACACCTATATAGATTTAATGGTGAATTTAAATTAGCAAGGAATGCAAAGTTAGTAGCATTGTCATTGACATATTCCCCTGGCTGCGTTTACATCATATTTAGAGCGCGCGCACACCTTTGACTAAAATATCGCACAACTGTTTAGTAGCGCTTTGATTCCTATGAGCTTATATGCAGGTGCACATACTACTCGATTTTTATTTGTGCAACTAACGGCCGGTCTCAATATGCAATTTTTTCAATCGAAAATCTCAATCCGTATCCTAATCTTTTGAAATACTGTCTCAATAAACGACCGAACGATAGAAATTCGATCTAAAAACATGACTAATCTATCGGAGGGAAAAATCTGATTTCTAACACTTTTCGGATCGCCCTCTGTTTGAAAGTGTCAGTTGCAGTGTTTCAATAAATGTTTTTGGAATTTTGACATATCTCTCAATCTTTATTTTACAATCTATGGAAATCGAAAGATTTTACTAATTTATTATGAGATTAAAAAATGGTTGGCTTGTTGCCGTATAGTGATAGCTGATAGTGAAAGTGATTTGGAGGTGTTAGAGCAACTTTCAG